GTTCGATAGTTGAAAACCAAACAATGTAATACACCATATTAACAGGCCAAAGAAGAAAAATCCCAGGATCATATCAATGGATGCAGAAAAATATTTTTTAGGAGAAATTATTTGGGAATTAGGGCTAGGCAAAGAGAACTTAGAGTTGGCACCAAAAGCACAATCCATAAAAGGAAAAAATGATAAATTGAATTTTAAAGTTAAAAACATTTGCTCTGCAAAAGATCTTGTTAGGAGAATGAAAGTACAAGCTACAGATTTGGAAAAACCATTTTCAAATCAGAAAGATAGATAAATAGACAGGCAGATAGAATATATAAAGAACTCTCAACATTCAACAGTAAAAAAAATCTAATTGAAATGGGCAAAGACATAAAAGACATTTCACTGAAGAGACTATACAGATGGCAAATAAGCACATTAAAAGATGTTCAAAATTGTCAAGCATTTTATGGAAATCAAAATTAAATCTACAATGAAATATCACTATGTAACTAGCAGAATGACTAAAATAAAATCATGATAAAACCAAATGCTGGAGAAGATGCAGAGAAATGGGATAATTCATACACTTTGGTGGGCACGTGAAATGGCACAATCACTCTCGAAAACAGTTTGGCACTTTCTTTAAAAGTAGCCACAAAGTACCCTTATCATATGACCCAGCGATTATACCTCTGAGCATTTATTTCACATAAATGAAAATTTATATTCCTGCAAAAACCTGTACACAATTGTTTATAGCAGGCTTGTTTGTAATAGCCCCAAACTGTGAACAACCCAAATATCCTTCCATGGGTGAATGGTTAAACAAACTGTGTTAATCTATACCAGGAAATACTGCTACCAATAAGAAGAAAAAAACTAGGAATGTACACAACAACCTAGATGGATCTCCAGAGAGATATTCTGAATGGAAAAATGCTAATCCTGAAACGTTACATACTATATGGTTTGATTTATATAACAATTTTAAAAATGACCAAATCGTAGAAAAGGAGAACAGATTAGTGGTTGCGAAAGGAGCAGGTGAGTGGGTAAGGTGCAGATGACGCTGGAAGAGAAGTGGTGTGAATAGAAAAGCGTGATGTTAGGGATTCCTGCATTGGTAGGAATCTTCTGATTCTTGACTGTCTCAATGCCAATTTCCTGGTCATGTTATTGTGCTATGGTTTTGCAACATCTTACCATTAGGAGAAACTGGGTTAAAGGGAACATGGGATCTCTTTATAACTATACATGAATCTACTTTTATCTAAAAGTAAAAAGTTTAATCAAAAATAAATATACTAAAAACACAAATGATTTCACTAAAATAAATAAAAAAGTTATGTGGCTCATAATCCAATAAATAAAAAGAGATAAAATAAAATCATAAAAAAATTGGTTTTTCAAAATGTGGCAGGAAAAGAGGAAAAATGAGAAGAGAACAGATTGGACAACTAGCAACATAAATGATTTCAACTAACTATATCAGTTGTCACATTAAATGCAAATTATTTAAATAACTAATTCAAGGCAGAGATAGTCAGACTGGACAAAAAAAGCAAGAGTTGGGGCTGGTCTGTGGCCTAGTGGTTAAGTTCAGTGCACTCCACTTCTGCGGTCCGAGTTTGCATGTTCGGATCCTGGGTGCGGACCTACACTACTCAATAGCCATGCTGTGATGGCAACTCACATATAAAGTGGAGGGAGATTGGCACAGATGTTAGCTCAGGGCTTGTCTTCCTCAAGCAAAAAAAGAGGAAGATTCACAACAGATGTTAGCTCAGGGCTAATCTTCCTCAGCCAAAAAAAAATTAAAATAAAAAAAAAATCAAGACCTAACTATTTGCTGCCTACAAGCCATAGACTTCAAATATAAAAACACAAATAGATTAAAAGTGAAAAAATATACTAATAGAGATAAATGGATCAATGGAAGACTAGAGAACGAGAAATAGACCCACAAATATATGGAGAACTGATTTTTAACAAATATGGTAAGGTAGTTTAGTGGAGAGAAGACAGTGTTTTCAACAAATGGTGCTGGAAATATTGCATATCTACTGTATATGCAGAAGATAAATAGATCTTTACATAGTACCTCTGATGGTGAATTTTACGTGTCAACTTGACCGGATTATAGGGTGCCCAGACATTTGGTTAGATGTTATTTCTGGGTGTCTGTGAGGGTGTTTCTGGATGAGATTAACATTTGAATTGGTAGACTGAGCAAAGCAAAGTGGAAGGGCATCATCCAATTTGTTCAAGGCCTGAACAGAACACAAAGGCAGAAAGGAGAATTCTCTCTATCTGCCTGACTGCTAGGCTGGGGCAGTGGTCTTCTCCTGCCCTTGCACGGGGACTTACGCCATCTGTGTTCCTGGTTCTCAGAACTTTGAACTTGGGCACAAATTACACTGTGGGCTTTCCTGGGCCTCCAGTTTGCAGATGGAGCCTCCACAATAATTGTGTGATCCAATGAGCCAATTCTTTATAACAAATCGCCTGTATATATGAATTATATATGTATGTGTGTATATACATAATCTCCTATTTATTATGTTTCTCAAAGTGAATCATATACTGTAAAATCAAAAACTAGAAAACTTCTAAGAGAAAACCCTTGTTACCCTGGATTTGACAAAGATTTCTTAGATAGGATGCCAAAATGACAATTCATAAAAGAACAAATTGATAAATTAGACTACACCAAAATTAAAAACATCTACTTTTCAAAAAGACAACTTAAAAGAATGAAAATACAAGGCTAAGACTGGGAGAAAATATTTGCAGAATATATAAAGAATTCTCGATAGTGAATAGTAAGAAAACAATCAATCCAATATAAAATGGCAGAAGATTTGGTGACAAGATATATGGACAGCAGATAAGCACACTAAAAGATGCTCGATGTCTTTAGTCATTTGGGAAATGCAAATCAAAACCACAGTGAGATACTGCTACATAAAAATTAGGAAAACTAAAGTTAAACAGACTGACCATATCAAGCATTGGCAAACGTGGGGGAACTTCAATTCCAAAGTTGAGTTAACTGATGGTGGGAATGGGAAAATGGTATAACTACTTTGAAAAACAATTTGAGTTTCTTAAAAAGTTAGCCCTATACCTACCATATTATCCACTTTAGGTATTTACCCAGGAGAAATGAAAGTGTATGTCCATACAGACTTGCACACAGATGTTCTCAGTAGCTTAATTTTTAATAGCCACAAATGGGAAAAAATAAGTGTCTAGGAATAGTTGAATGATTTAAAAAATGTGGTAAACCCACACAATGGAATATACCCAATAATAAAAATGAATGAATATTCATACACACAGCAACATGGGTGAATTTCAAAATAATTATATGGAGTGAAGAAACTATATAAAAAAAGACTACATACAGTGTGTTTCTATTTATATAAAATTCTAGGAGATACAAACTAATGTTTATTCAGTAACAGAAAGAAGACCAATGGTTATCTGAGGGGGGTGTGGCAGGAAGAAAGGACTATATAAGGTCAGGGGGAATCTTTTGGAGGTAATAGATGCATTCATTATCTTGATTGTGCAGGATGTTCATGATTGTATGTGTATGTCAAAACATCACAATGCACACCTTATGTATGAACAGCATATTATATGTCATGTATATCTCAGTGAAACTGATAAACACACACACACACACGGTTTCTCTTAAACTACATTGGAAGAGATTATTTAATTGAGCAGTCTGAAGCCAAAGATCTGTTGATAGGTCTAAGTATGCCTTGAGAAAAAATTTTAGACAATTTAACACAGGGCGTCCTTAAAGTTCATGCTATAGGAGAAAGAAGACATAAATTGGGAGATTTAGTGGCACTGTTTTAATGCCAGTCACCATTGCAGATGCAGGCCATTTGCTCTCAAGCATCTGGTAGAGGAAGCTCCTTTCACAGAAAGGACCCTGCTTATCTGACAACAACGTATGCAACGCCATCCCAACCCACCTCACACATGCTCTTGCCATGACCTTTTATATCCCATAATAAGTAAAGTTGGCAAATAATGGGAAGAAAGAGGATTTTGATTTGCAAGAAGATGAAATTCTTAGAAATTCATATTTCATGAAAACCACATACAATTGTGTTTTATATGCCTCAAATCACTTTTTAGGTAACCAAAATAACATTTGAAGTCTTTATAGGCCCTTCTTATTCAACATCTTCAATAAAATTATGTTATTCAGTAAAAATAATAATATACTGCATAAGTATTATTTGGTATAAAGGGGAACAGAAATGGTGAACACTTAAGCAGCAATTTTAAAACATGGCCCCAAAATTCTTTGGCACATAAATAAAATAAAAAGTCAACATAAAATAGAAAGATAAGATTCAAGAGCATTGTCACTACTTTAATCTCTACACTTCCGCAAAAATAACCCCTCAAATTTATTTATATTCTTTCAAAACTTTTTCCTTATACGTACCAATTTGACTAAGTATCAAGGTAAGTCTAGTCGGACTGTAGTAGAGGCCTATAAAACAATCTTGTAATTCATTTCTATTTCTTTCTCCCCTTCTTACATTTTATATATTCTTCTTTTTCTTTCTCCTCTTCTTTTAATGATTTTTTGTTTTATGAGAAGTATCATTTGATCTATTTCTTCATGAAGCTCTCATGTGGAATTGAAGCCAAAATTTTGGTGTATTGGTAAAGCAAAGGGCTGGCTTGGGAGATTAATTTCTATCACCCCTCCTCCTTAGAGTTTTGATGTGGACAATTCATGTTTGTTCAGTCTTATGTAAAATGCAAAGTTGCTATGGAAACACAGTGATGGGGCTCTACAATATGGAAGAAGAGGGGAGTAGGGTGGCTCACGGTGATTGAGTAGGCAGCCAAACTCCTCTGCCATGGATCTCTTTCAAACTCCTTCAGAAATAGCTTTATTCAGGAAGATTCATGTTAAAATGATACATTTTGACACAGGCTTCTGTTCTGTTTCTCCTTGATTTTGGTGTGTTTTTCAGCTGCTGAAGGAATGGTATGTAACCATCTGTGCTCAAGCAATGGCTGCTGGGGACCCGGGCCAGACCAGTGCCTGTCCTGCCGTCGCTTCAGCAGGGGGAGGACCTGCATAGAGTCCTGTAACCTCTTTGATGGGTAGGCCATCTTACATGTCACCTTTACCTCATGAGCTTTGAAGTATTGACTGGTTCAGAGTTAAAAACGATAAGAAAATGGTAAAATTTCAGAATGTGTGTGCTGGCCAAGAATTTTAAGAAGAGCTCTTGTTGCGTAAAGGAAACAACATAGAGAGTTATTTTAAGGGAGAATAATTTCATTTGAAATCACAAGTCTAAATAGATATTGATTAGTATGCACATTTTTAAAAAAGTGTACCAAAATAGACAATTCTTAATAAATTATAGCATTTTATACTTAAGCAAAATTGAAAAATATATTCCTGTTTTCCTTATGAAGGAGATTGTTATGAGTAATCTTTCCTCTGATGTTTCCCAATAGTCCTTTTTCCCTCATACTTTCTGTTAATTTTCATGCAATTCCTGAATGAATTTTTAATCTTTTCCATTCAGGTTGTTTGAGTGTTTGATTGTGTATTAGAAATGACACATTTCTGTATTTCTGACAACTGCTCAGCTCTACAGAAAAATTACCTTTGTAGTTTCCAGTTGAAGAGCTTTTTTGAAAATGTTCTACCACCTTCCAAAGATAACCCAAGCAACATTTTAAATCAAGTATTTAAAATTCCTTCTGATACTATAATAATTACATTGCCAACAATAAAACTTAGTATATACCTTGTTGCATGGCATTTCGCATACTCATAAAATCACTTTATCATAACATACCATTCCACGCATCACAGTTGTCCTTCATTAGTGTGATAATGCATTTTTTAGTACTGTCCCTGAGTCAAATTTTCTTGTATTTCTCACTGAAAGGATTTCCAACAGTTTTGTAAAATTGTAGTTTTGAAGTTCTTTATTTCATTTCTTCTTTTGCCTCAAGAATTGTCCCATTTTAACAACTGTTTTCAAGATCCCAGATAACATTGTACTTTCGCATTTTAGATCAAAAGGATAAAAACCTCTGGATAATAATAGCATTGATATATCTCTTTTTTAAACAATGACCAAACCCAATACCCTCCATGAAATTTATGGAAAAAGATTAAAATTAGACATTTAAATATAAAAACAATTTTAAATAAGAATTTAATAGTTTTTCAGGAAAATTTCAGCTTGTAATTTTGTAAGGTACAATCAGCTCATAAATTTGGTAATGAATATCAAATTACATGCTGCCTGTCTCAGATCAAAATATGCTTCTTTCTCTGTGATTGATACCATTAAAATGAAACTAATAAACTTTAATTCCATTAAGTGAATGTCCCATGAAAAGTTTATTGAATATATACGTACAGTTCTAAAGAAGAAATGGATTCTAGAAACCATGTTATCGAACAGCAGCATCTTATAAACAGTGAGAGTTGGTAGAATTGTGTTGGCCAAAGTCATAACACTCCAGAGGAGCAAAGCCAAGACTAGGCCTCAAGGCATCTGATTTTCATCCTGTTTTCTTTCCAGATGCCATTGTTTTTCTTTAATATTTCAGTTTTAAACTTGTCAGAAATATGAAATTGATAAATATGTGGGTGTATACAACATCCTCTGTCTCAATTCTGCAAAACAATGAAAGCTAAGTGGAGGAAAAATACCCATTTACTAAATAAGCAACACTCATTACCAAACTATTTTTGAAAATTTAGCGTCTTCCATGTCATTAAATCAAATGCATTAAAAAAATGTAAAGTTTTAAATGTATTTTGTGATAGTGATTGGGTCCTAGGAAGTCATACACGCAGGGTGGGTTTGAAAGATAATGGATGGAAGTATCTTTGGTAGTCCGATCTTGCCTGCCCAACAACAAATTCTCCACCTCCAGTCTTGGCATATTGGCTAATTTTTCGAACATTGCCTGTTCATTTAGTCAGCCTTTGAGAAGGGATGAATTCAAATCCTAGCTTCAACTTCCTAGTTGAAACATCCAACCTTGGACGAACAACCCAATCATTCTAAACTTGGTTTTCTTATACGGAAGATGGGAATAATAATGCTGCCAACTCCATAGGTTAGTTGTGATTATCAAATAAGAAAATGCATAATAAAGTCTTGTTAGAGCTCCTACCACTAAGATTATCATTATTTTCTTTTTGTGTCTATTAATCTGAGCTGATTAAATGGTTAAATAGAACAGTCACCTCAAAAACTCCCAAACTAAATACAAATATGACATTTACCAAAATCAAAGAGTCTATTTATATATACAAAAGCATGACTATCATAAGACACGAAATCCTGAAAAGATGATTTTTCGAAGGGGAAAAAGGAAATCAGTCAATTCCTGGCTATTAGTACTCAAATTTAGGTCTTATAAGTCACTATATTTCAGCAACTCAGCTACAATGCACAAGCAATAAAATTGAAACAGAAAGCTAATTTCAATGGGATCTTAATTTTTTAACATGGTTAAACTCTACTGAAACGTTAAGAGCAACACAGAAACATCAAAAAGAATGCCAGTCTAAACTCTTTGCAGACATTTTTTACATTTAACAATCACCACCTCTCAAAGAAATACTCTTTTTCCGTTTTACAGAGGATATTTAGGAAACTGAAGCTTAGAGAATTTTAGGGATTTGAGGCCTAGAAATATTAGTGTCGGTGCTGAGATTTAAATTTTGGAAGGATTTGACCCTAAGCATTTGCTCTTGATCACAGGATCGGCTACGGTAGCACATGCAGGAAAGCCATGAGAAATGTACAGCAGCAAAATGCTCCATATGCAAAACTCATACTCAATAGACTTGATTTGTTAGATCAGATTCAAGTGAATGAGGATCTCTGGGAAAGTCATAGTAGAATCATTAGGGGACAGGGAAGGAAAAGAGCAATGATGGAGACAGTGACAATAAAGAGCAGAAGTATGGAAACTGGAAGGAGGAGCTGTTCCGACACCAGAAAGGAAGAGCGGCAGAAACCGTACAAAGGGAAGTGTATGGAAGAAAAGGCAACTAGGTTGGCTCCATGATTTTCTATCACATATTCATTTTACTCCTCAACTCTGTGTGTGAGGAAGGGGGTTGTGGAGAAGAGAGGGAATAGCATGACCTATGTTTTAGCAGCACAAAAATTATAACCTTCATTTAGCACCATAACCCTTTAGTCAACCAAAGAGCGTTTCGAGCACCAGTGATTTGCTGATGATTGCAGGCTTTGCTGTAACTGTCATATAATTTCATCATACAGATAATGCTTTTGATTCTCTTTACAATTTAGCTACTGCTCCCCACCCCCTCGCTAATACCAGATCATTTTGACTTTTATATTCTGAAGAGTTCTTCTGTTGAGTGCTTTATATCACTCATGTTGATGAAACATGAAAAAGAAAATGTAGTTTTACATAATTGAGATTTGAAAATCAAGAAAATTCATAGAAAGTTTAATCCATAGAAAACCAACATCCCAGTTAAAAATGAAAAATCCCTGTAAGTAGCTATATGTATCCATACATAACTAAACCATCGATTTATGCTATTCATTTTGAAAAACCAAACTTAATTATTTTGCCTTGGAGTGGATGTAGTCTTAACCAACCAAGAGAAAATATAGCCTACCATTCAGACTTCTTTCATTTATTAAGGCTTTACAGTAACCAGAATGGATAGTTCACTATGCCAAAAAGTAAATACTTCACTCTAAGGAAAAATAAATCTGAATTTATCACCTAATTAATCCATAATTGCCATATTTGCAATACTATTAGTTTGGAATGGTAGCTCATGATACAAAGGCACAAAATAACAAAGGAGATATAAATATTTAGTCAATTTTGTTAATGACTCATAACTGACATTCTTAATTGCCTTTACCCAGTGCCTCATCCTCTTGTGGTTTAAATATATTGTACATAACTGATACCCAGTTATTGAAATTAAAATTTTAGAGTAGATACCGATTGGAAAACTTATATATTGATAACATTTCATATTCAAATAGCCACAACATGTAAGATTGTAGGAAGGGATGACCATCATCCGGGGAGATTTTAACTAAAAAGTTTTATAATTTTACCCTTAAACTATTTTTTATTTTATAGCACATAGAATTACCTCAAAAAGAATTTAAACTGAAAAAGATGTTGTGATATTAGATCAATAATCTACAAAAATAAAATCTTCCATAAAAAGATATTTCCTCTAATTCTCCAAGGCAGATATTTTAAAAGAAGAAAAGAAATCAAAGCAGTTTTTGAAGTTTCACCAAAAATAAATTGAAGAGTCTTGGGATTTGAAGGACAAGGATGGGGAGCGTTCATGTAACTTAGCAGCAAGAAAACTACAATAATTCTTTCAGAGTTAAAAAAGTAAAGCTTCAGCCAAGAATACAATTTTATATAGAGACAAACAGGTACAACCATACTTTAAAAGGTAAAAATGGTTCTGCTGTGTCATCAGAAGAGTTATACTTTTTTTTTGAGACTGTTAGACTATCTCTCACAAGAGAGAGGTTTCCTGAATGAGTCTATCATTGAACCCAGTGGAGGGCAAGGAGAGCCATCTGGCTGCAGTTTATCTTTTTTCCTAATGGAGAACTTATTCCTTAATGTACAGGGAAATGATTCTGAAGCTCCCGGCACATAGAGAAACAAACTCGAGAATTTACTCTGCCAATAGGACTTTTAGCAGATGTTACTTCATTTGTTAAGTTGACAGCTTGTTTGCTTACATTGCCTCATACAGCTGATGTTTTCACAGCGAATTTCGGGAGTTTGAGAATGGCTCCATCTGTGTGGAGTGTGACCCCCAGTGTGAGAAGATGGAAGATGGCATCCTCACATGCCATGGACCGGTAAGCCTAAAGACATCTGTGGTTGTGTTGGCTTATTTTGCTATATTGTTGTTTTGTTGTTTATGCATCCATTCAATAGGTATTTATAGCATGCCGTGAGGAATTATGTTTGATATTCTGCCCTCAAGAGGCTTACAGTTTAGTAGTAGAGAAAAGTATTTAAAAATTCAATTTCTCAAATATTTATGTCCTAGATAATGTATTTAAAAAGGAGTTACTGAATTTTCCACAAAGGTTGTCCAGTGTTGAAAAGAAAAGGGAGATACATGAGTAATAAATTGAAGCAAAATAATTGACAAAATATTAATATGTATAAATTGTTATAGGAACACAAGTGAGGGAGAAATTAAATCTGTCTTTGGGATGGAAATTGGGGCATCACAGAAGGCCATGTAGAAGTGATGTTTGAGCTGTTTTTTGAAGAAAAATCTGCAAAGAGGAAACATACAAAGATTTGCAAATGTAAAAGTTCATGTTGTGGTTAAGGTAAACTATAACATGTTCACATATGTGTTTAATCATTTAACTAGTATGGCATTGTGAAGGACAGTTGACAAAAGGAGGAAGGCAAGTGTGCCTAAAACCTAACATGTGTGATCAATACTATGATAAAGAGAAGAACTGAGCTATGAGAATTGAAGGAGGGGCTATGGGAGAATTTGACTTTCGCATAGTTTGAAGTTAGCCTTACAGAGAAAATGATAATTGTTTTTCAGGCCTCCCTTTGGTTCCCATCCTTCAGGCTTTTTCTTGATAATGAGGCCAGTGTGAGTTTGTCATTCCAAAGTGTCATATTCATCCTTCTTTAGACAAATTTCCAGTTTACTTGTGTCTTGAGTCATCTCTCAGTAGATAATTTGGGGGACTAACATTTCAGTGTAGCCAAGAGCTCAGCACTGCTCCAAAAAAATTTAAATGGATTTAAGTAGTACTAATTTTTCTACCAGAGTGCTTATCAGCACTTAATTAGCTAAGAAAAAAATATCACTGAGCCCTCCAAACTTCCATTAGGCCCCAATGAGCCGTTCTGGAACTTCATCTAAAGAAGGATGTGGAAAACCTGGACAGTTCAGAGGACACCACAAAGATGATTAAGCTTGGAAAATCAGACCTCTGAGAAAAAGAAGTGGTGTGATTTTGGCCTGAAGAACCAAAGTCTAAAAGACAAGTTAATATGAGATATCTCCAAGTAAGTATACAAAGGGCATAGGTAGCTATTTTCTTTCTCCACTAAGGATAGTCATGGAAAACACAATTAATCCACAGCATGAGAAGTGTGGATCTGTAAAGAATGTCCTGAAACACAGGGATGTAACACTCCATAAATACAATGTGGAATTCCAAAATTCCACAGAGTTTTTAAAACAAGTTGAGCTATTTATATAACTTCTTTAAAAACTAACATATTTAGGTACCACAAGTCAAAGAATGAAAAAAAAATCCTCTTTCAGACAGAGACTTTGAAAATGTACACTTACAATAATCAAGAATTTGGTGATCTCCTCTGTGCAAGGCTGATTGTAAGACCAGCCCTGTGCTTTTTCTGTTCCTTGTGCTGCCTCTATGGTACAAAATTATGATAGTAAAGAACAAGTTTAATAATTTCTTTTAATTTGTATTTTTTACAATTTATTTATTCCTCAAAAGAATTGAGATGGTTTATGAAAATATACAGAAAAAACTCTTAAAAGTTAATGTTCTGGTAATTTTCCAAATTAGTCAATAACTAGGGAAGAGTAAAAAATAGGTTTTCAATAAACACATTTTAATTCTATAATGACAGTATTGTTGCACAATATATTTAAAATCACTACTCAGGGCTAAAAATTGTGAATTAACATGTCTAGAGGTTAGAGATGGCAGTAAGTCAAAAATAGAGAAAGTTCAGTCAAGATGAATCAGGCAGCTGTGGAAGATAGAGGATGGAATCAAGAAAACCTACTTGGGCACTTGATTGCTTGATGAGTAAGCCTTGAAATGCTAAGCAAGTAAGAACACGGTACGGTGTCTTCTAGGTTATGGTGTCTGAAAACCTGGCAGAACTGAGATCCATCAATAGCCCAAACTTTGCTCTTCCTACGGGTTAGTTGTTTTCAGCCTTTACAATTTATGTTAGGTTTTAGCCTGTTTCTGGGTCCACGTGTTGATTATCACAACTAGAGACAAAGATGTTGTTGTCTGCCACGTAACTGGCATATATCGCTTAGGATAGCCAAGAGGTTCTGGAAACTTATTTATGAGCCTAACACTGTGAGGAGAGAAAGGAACAAGTCACAAAGCTAACTGGAATTCCCATACTTGGTCTTATGATTTATTCTGTTGAAATATCATTTTCCTGACCTTTCAATGTTTTCCTAATGATAATAATTGATAAATATTTATATTTACCAAACACTGTTATATGTGAAGCATACGATCACCCTCTCTGTTTAAAATATCAAGGAATTGAGCCCATTATAATGATTAGAAAGTTGCTCCACAAGGACTCAGCATGTCAGTAAGATGTGGAGCTAAGACTCAACTGTAGAAGTTCTGACTCCAAATTTCACATTCTTTTCAGTTCGTGTTTTTTTTCTTTTTTTCTTTTCCAGGCAGCAATGCCTGTAATGTAATAAGGACAAAATGCTTTCTGGGAATGTGCTATCGATATGTAAAATGAGATGGTATTATCCTATTTAATTGTGACAGAAATCCAGGATAACCTTGAGAGGAATAGATATGAAATAAAGCAAGCTTCTCTTTTTATATCCTTCTCTTTTGTGCACTTTCTCTTCTTTGTTTTTTTTTTTTTTTTACAATTTTATCCTTTTTGCCTCACTTTTACTAACCCTGGACAGACCTATTAAGAGGGAATGTGAGAGAAAGGAAAGTAAGAGAAATCAGACAAAGTTGTAGGAGATCAAAATATAAGACAGAGAAAGCGTGAGAAGAGAAAAGATAGGAGAAGGGAAATGATTTTTAAAACATGTTTTTATAAAAGTTAAAGTAGCTGTTAAAGTCAGGCTTATAAATTTTGTGCTTCCATAACAAATAACCCCACATTGCAGTAGCTTACAGAAAAGTGTTTAAATCTTTTTCATGTAAAGTGAACTGCAATTCTGGCAAACGTTCCGAGGCAGCCCTCCTGCCTGTGATGGTCCAGCATTCCAAGATGCTGTGGTTTTCTGGCGCCTCCACATCTCCACGGGGTCCCTGTGTCGTGGCAGCAGGGAAAGAGAAGGCTAGAGAGTCTAGCACTGGCACTGACAGTCTCATGCATTGCTTCTACTTAACTTCCTTGTCCAATCATTGCAAGACGTAGCTCAGCTCTGGTGGGAGAGGAAGTTCGATCTCCTATGTGGCTGGAAGTGGAGGAGAATTGGATCTTAGTGAATAGTGGCTTTGTCTCTTACAGCAGCTACCAGAGAAAAATATCATTGTCACTGAGAAAAATTGTAACATTTCTATCAAATTTATTCTATTCTTTAGTTTTCTGTCTAGATTATTGAGTCCAAGGGTAGCTTAAAATCAGAGATACAAATATTGCCTTTACCTCTGTTTTCTATCATTTGCGTTTATCATTTCACTCACTGCACCTAGGTTCTGGAAAGCTTTGAGAATATAATGATAGAGGAATAAGCACTGGGCACACATAAATTTCTTTAAATCTCTTTATTATGGACATGAGAAGGAGAATTAATACATTTCTCATTTTTGAGATTTGTTGGCACATTTTTTAGTTATGTCAGCTTAAGACGTCAGGCTTTGTATCATGATAACACAATCAAAATGTTAAGAGATGCTTAAAAACAAGCAGACAAAAGGTAATTACTCGCTAAAGTATACTTAGAGATTGAATATGAATTTAATTTTAATTTCATGATTTTTTTACGTCTTTTGATTTTACCTGGATATTGTTTTACATTAAAAGAATTTTACAGAAAAATAATTCCTAATTCCAACTATAATTGCCTAATTTACTCATGGTTAAGTTTTATGCTTGTGTCCTGTAAGGAGACATCAGTGTGTCTCTTGTCTTGTACAATAAGTCATGTCACTGAACATCCTTGCACACAAAATTATTTGGTATAATAGATAGCATTACGTGCCTAAGTACCCATGAGCAGGTGTTACAACTGGAAGCATGTGATGTATTCTTTTTTGGTGGAAATGAGAAGTTGCCAATAGCAACCTCTTCAGATTGAATAGGGATTAGGTTTTATAGGATAATTTTTCTTGTTAGCTCTAAGTTTCACATCAAAATAGTGAAATAGGTAGTTATTTGACTGAACATCACCAGTCTCAGGATTTCCAGAAACTTTATGATTATTTTTTCTTCTTTACACCTCTATTATTCAATAGCAGACTCTATCTTTAATTTTTTTCTTTTTTCTTTTTTTTGCTGAGGAGGATTGGCCCTGAGCTAATGTCTGTGCCCATCTTCCTCTATTTTATATGAGGGACACCTGCCATAGTGTGACTTGATAAGTGCTACCTAGGTCTGTGCCTGGGATCTGAACCTGCGAACCCTGGGCTGACAAAGTGGAGTGTGCAAACTCAACCAGTACGCCACTGGGCTGGTCACCTCTATCTTTAAATTTTAAATATTATATGTCTTGATTTCCTGATGCCTTATATCACCAACTTGCCATGTCTGGCTGCTTTTGGACTAAGACTTGTAGAGGGGTGCAATACATTCCCATGAATGAACTGACTCCCCACTTCCTGCCTAATATATAGCTCTGTATAATGTTGGCTCACTCTTGGTTCCCAGATTCACATTATTTATCATTACAAACCTGATAAAATTAATAATCTCCTTCTATAATTACTGTATCTTATTTATCTAAATTGTGTTCAATGTGAATTGCTGTAATTGTTTTTTTGTGTGTGTGAGGAAGATTGTCCCTGAGCTATTTTATATGTGGGAAGCCACCACAGCACAGCTTGATGAGAGGTTGCATAGGTCCGTGCCTGGGATTTGAACTGGTGGACCCTGGACCACCAAAGTGGAGTGTGCAAACTTAACCACTATGCCACCAGGCCAGCTCTGTGTTGTGTAATTCTTGAACCATGTGACATAGACAGATTTGGGGGAGAACTGGGTGAGGGGCAGAAGTTCCAGGAAGGAGTGGTCAAAGAGAATAGGAATCCTGAGACAATATGATGTTCAAAACGGAGAGCTAAGGAGCCAGCCGAGTGGTGTAGTGGTTAATTCAGTTCGTACACTCTGCTTTAGTGGTCCAGGCTTTGCACATTGGGATCCCAGGCATGGACATGCACACTTCTCATGGAGCCATGCTGTGGCAGCATCCCACATATAAAAAAAATGGAGGAGGCTTAGTGTGGATGTTAGCTCAGGGCCAGTCTTCCTCATCCAACAAGAAAAAAAAAAGGAGAACTAAAAGTAAATTTTGAGTAGGTAATACATTATTCAAAACAACTGAATGTGTGAAAATGTCGACATCTTTTAAGAAAATAGCAATTTTTATCAAAATGTTCTCAATTTTCTTTGATCTGAGGGTACACTACTTATCATTTCTTGCATGCTTACTATGCCCAGGACCAAATTCAAATTAGTTTTTTTTGTAAAATTCTTAGATCTTTAATATGAGTTTTAAAATTTTACTTTTGTTATGATATTTAACATGTATTTGCATATTATTATTGCTCGTTATTCTAAATATTAGAAAATTACTGTATATTGTAAACATAAATACATGAAGTGAGCCGGCTCTATTTAAATTTGTCATGTTCATATTTACATCACTTTAATTCTTGGATGAGTTTCTCTGTACAATTTTCTTTTGTATGTATCTACTTTATTATTATGGAGTTTTTGATATTTACTCATCAGAATGTGCCTTTATATGGCTCTCTTTATATGGCTTTATATGGTACTGTACTGTGATTTACTAAAATCTTTATAAATAGACATAATACGATTTTTAGCATTATCACATGCCGATTTGAGATGAACAGTAACCTAGAAATGAACTTTTATTTGCCTAAACTGCCTAATTCCTAATAATTCAACTATAGTAAATTTTTAAGTTTGTTGTTCAAATAGTCATTGTACAATCAAAGGAAAGTTTACATCTCACATTTCTATGAAATTCAGTATTACCTAATTCCTAACATTTCCTTCTCTTTATTAACTCTTTGTTAAGAATATTCACATATTCCCAGTGATCATGCTTGAAATACCCCTAGGGAAAATGGGTTGTTACCAAATATTGCTGCACTGCAATTTCACCAGGAATAAATGACAGAAAGAAAATATTGATGTCCTTCAGTCAAAGTCATAGGACAATTTTGCTGATGGCAAAACTACAATAATGACATCCCATTTGTACTTCTGAAAACATTTCCCAGTCCCCTAGAGGAAGATTGGCCACCCACTCAAGTCTCAGTAACCAAGCCACATGAGTACATTCCAGAGGAAATGGTACCCATTTTTCTTTCTCCATTTTGTTTTGTTTTTCACATTTCAGGGACCTGACAACTGTACCAAGTGCTCCCATTTTAAGGATGGCCCGAACTGTGTGGAAAAATGTCCAGATGGCCTGCAGGGTGCAAACAGTTTCATCTTCAAGTATGCTGATCAGGATCGGGAGTGCCACCCATGCCATCCAAACTGCACCCAAGGGTAAGCATCCTTGCTGGCCAAGGATTCCATCTTGTAGGGAGTCTCAGTCAAAATGTTCACATGTGCATCTTCATCCCTGACACAATCTACCAAATGTATAATATTCTTATACAAAACTCCATTCATCTTTATATTGACATGTTGATTTTAAGAGAAATCCTTTCTCAAAGAATGGTTTATGGAATCAAATTTATGCCCTCTGAAATATTTCGGTTTAACATTTACCTATAGCTGTTCTATTGACACCTTCGTGAAGCTGTTGTCAGGTCTGCTTTGTAAGGAGTGTAGAAATTCTTCCAGATTTTACTGGAGATTGAAGATATCAGAAATGACAAGACAGTAATCATACTTTTGAGATTTGTCCTTAATAAAGCTTTAACAGAGGTTTTCTATTTCTGTTTCTTTGTTGTTACAACCAGCTTAAAGTGAGGCTATCTCTCTTTGATAAATACTGCCCTGGATTACTTCTCCCACAAAATATAAGCAAAAATATCAATGGCAATAAAAAAGGGAACCTAGTGATATATATATATATATATATATATCTCAATAAAATTACAAGTACATTCTGTGAAAGTAATTTTATTACAGGTTAACCTATAACCCTGAATTTCTTTCACCAATTTAGGACAATTCAAAGATGGGTTCAAAATTTTTCTATTTTTCGAAAGGATGCATTGTAAAATGAATAATAATTAGATTACCTTTGATATTGATAGCATTTGAATAACAAAGAGAGATTACAGAAAGAAGAAAAGCACTGAACTATAAAAGGAATATTGTCATTCATCTAACAAATCCCAACAACTGTTTCTTTAAAAGACAGCATATCTATTTTAGCAAGGATATTTTTTCTTTCCTTCACAAGGTAAATAATTTTAGAATTGGGAGCAGTTTCACATACTCTATCTTCTTTCTCTCCATAAAACCTCTTCTCCATTGTGAGTGCCCACACGCATGTGCACAAATATGTACAAACACATACACTTGTTGAGAATCATCTCGGGTCCTTTAAATCTGCCGGGAAAGTGTGAGATTCCATAAAGAGATTTTCTGCCACATTAAGGACTTGCTGTTAGGGAATATTGAAGAAGTTAAGCGAGCAACATCATTTTCTTCCAAGAGGACATCAATTTGCAGATGCTGCTACAATTTCCTGCAGGTCAAGAAATCAGCTTAAGTCACTCTATGAAGTGGCAGACCCTCCAAAGGTAAAGTAATATTCTGCCACTCAAATTCAAATTCAGCTTGGAAGAGCTAAGGCTAACTCACTGGTTTACACATAAGCACACAGACTTAGGATGCTGAAAGAGTCACTTAAACACTTTGCTTCAAGGAAACTAGAAGGAATAAACTGCTCCCCTTGTGAGGGTTTGGTATACTTGGGTTAAGAGTGTTTTATATAGAAACAACTGGTACCGCTGGAGCAGAAGAGTCAGCAACAGAAAGAGGAAACTTTGCCTGCTAAAATAATCATCCACAAGAGGATTTTATTGTTTTGAAGCTAAAATTAAACCAGTAAATTATTCAATATAATGTTGATGTCAACAGCTGTTGCCATTCAAAATGAGACCTTTTGCTGTTTTTGCAAATCTAATTACAAAGAAGCCATTAGGGAAATGAAAGTGAGATCACAGAGCCATAGTTGGGATGTGTGGCTGGTGTGTCTTCCTCTCAGCCGTTTATAATCGTGATTATACAATAACAGAAAAGATATAGAGTGGGGAGAAATAGAAGTGGGGACAATGAAGAGATTAATTTACCACAGCAACAAAAATTGGATGTCAACCAAAAGGGAGGATGAAAGAGCAATAGGGAACGAATCTGACCAGAGTGCTTGGGAACTCCAAGTAAAGAGGAAGACGTCTTAAATTCACTGCTGCAGAATGGTGGCGAGACAGACTTTGAATGTTGTACTCCCTGGCGTCTTCCAGGGGAAGGGGATTCTGTAATGACTGACTTAGTCCTGAAGGATTTCTGTTCTTATCTTCATTTAGCTTTCCACCTCCCTTTTTTTAATAGCCTCCGTATCATCCGCGTTCATTCGCTTTATGAGAGTTCTGTGGTCCTGGCCCCAGAAGGGGTACTAAACCCCGCTCTGTACTGCACTGCTGTGCGGCCCTGTGCGTTGAGATCCTTTACTGAAGCAATGCAGTGCTCTGTGCTTAGTCCCTTCTTTTCCAGTTGAGTATGTAGAGGTAGAATCCTTGTCTGGAGAGATCACAGGGGCAATGGGGATGATGGGACGAGAGACTATTTTTATTCCTAAAAGCGTGTAATAGCGACCCTATCAGTAAGTGTGAGCTCACCAGACCAGCTTCACTTCAGAAAACAACTTTTCTTTTATATGCCAATATTATGTCAGCTAGATAATTGAAGAACCAAGTTAATGGAAAGTCTTTCAAATCACATTTTTTAGAAGGAAAGTTCTTACTTCAAATACTGTTTAATGATTTTCTGAAAATAAAATTATCTGTGTAATACCTTAAAAGCACTTTTGCTACTCTAAAAGCACATTAAATCTATTGGCTGTAATAAGTTCTTTAGATACTTTTAAAATAGGTTATCCATTTTGCACCCATCAGGAGATTCTGGTTAATATTCCTAGAGAAAAAAAAAATGTCAGTGTCTCTTTTTGCCTTGACTAGAGGATTTTTATTTTAGCAGCCTTTTCTCATTTCGTTCATTCTTCAGCTTTGTTATACTGAACGCCTACTGTGCATCAGATTTAGTGATAGCTGAGTTCAGAAATATGCAGACACAGTTCTCGACTGCCGGGACTTCACAGTCCAGCGAATTTTTATTCTCACAATTTACATCCTTCCATTAGAGATCCTTCTCCATATTTTGAAATGATGAGCAAGAATTGAAAACTTAGGAATGGCTTTAATATTTGAAATTAGCAAAATAGAAATTTTAAAAGAGAACTTATAAGCTAAATTTAGTATGTCATTAAGTGGCCATAAGGGCAGAGATCAGAGTTTCCTCATTAACATGACTTTGAGTCCAGATAAACGCCAGTTTGTCTTTGGTTTTTAGACATGGACTTGGATATTTATTTTTCATAAAGCATATTTTAAAAATTTAATTAAATGTTTTTGCTAGTATTAGAATCATGATTTCATTTTATTAAATTTCCTATATACCTTAATCTCTTTAAATCAATCCTTTTTATATTTTTAAATTTATATAGTGAAATAATTTCCACTGATGGAGCGAGGAAAAAAGAGCTGTTTGTGAAATTATTGTCTATACTGTTTTCATTGAAAATTTTAAATATTCTCCCATTTTCATTTCAAAATTTGGAGGAGGTTTTATCAAAATATCTCCACCATGTTAGTTAAATGGGTACATCAAAGTGCTTATACATCAGTAAGTACTGGCAAATGCTGAACACAGCTCTATATTCAGAATTTCAGATATTTTTGCAATATGATATATTGACATGTTGCAGTTCTCTTTCTGATTTTTCTGTAAAATTGCTACTTTGGAACACTAATTTTATAGAGAGTTGTATTATTCGATATCCTTATTCAGTCTCTTATTTGGGATTTTGACTGTTTAAAAAGTTCAATGTTTCCATTATTCTGTGATCTTGCTGAATCAATATAAATTGCATGTGGTAATTATTTGCTTATATAGAGAAATTACAGAGTTGAAACAGAATATACATCTTTAAATACTGTGACTTGCATTTAGAAAGGATGGTACCACTTCAGTCATACTCACATTCTTCTTTGTCTTCCATTTTTTCTTTCATCTTTAGCTTATAAATATGTTTAAATCTCAAATATTCTGCACAATCCCCTCAACAAACTTTCTTGACCCCACATCCTGCCCCCTCAGTACACTCTTCCTTTCTCTTTGCCTCTATTCTCTTGTCTCCAATTTGCTTCTTAACTCACAGCAACCTAAATTCTAGTGACTTTGACAATGACAACTAAAATACTCTCAGTAGTTGCTATTTTATTAGACTTCTCTTTGCATTTGACACTGATGATCACCCTGTTTCCTGAAGTTCTCTCCTAATTTGGTTTCCATGACGCTGCAATTAATTGATTTTAGTCAATTATATTTTCCTGTGCCTCTGGCACATGAGGTCATCTTATGTCACCTACTGGTTAGTGATTGGAGTTCCTTGGGTTTCAGTCCATCTCTGCTTTTCTCACCTTATAGATCCTTCTACAGCCATCTTATCCACTTAGGTGATTTCAGCTTTCTCCTGCATGCTGTTTCAAAACTGATCATTTTACTTGTGCTTTCTTTCCCCTCAGCCACAGACCCATCTTTCCAGCTGCTGAGGAACATTTCTACCTAGATATAGGACCACCACTCTCAACTCTAGAAAATAAATCTGAAATTATCAACCCCTCCTCCCCCAACACAGACACCCACAAGGAAAGATTCCTCATCTTGCATTTTGTCACTGATGGTACCACTATTCTCAAAGTTAGACATATGAGTCATCTTTAACTCCTCTGATCTTTCCACTTCCGTCATCAATCAGTCATCAACTTCTCTTTTTTTTTTCTGTACTTTTCAAGGTATTTCTTGAATCTGTCCCTTTGCCTATATCCTAGTTACCATTCCTCTCGTGTTTTCCTTCATCATTTCTTTACATAGACTAAAGTAATCTCTGTGCCAAAGGACTCTACCTGGTTCCCAGCTGACTAGTCTTCACTGGGCAAAGAGATCCATATAAAATACATCTAGCAGTTTCACTACCACTTTAAAATCCTGCGGTGGTTTTCCATTAAGTTTATTCTGAAGAAAATAGTCTTCGTAAACTGGCTCCCATCTCATGATCTGATTTCTTCTTTTCCCTCTCTCTGTTGCCTCATACGTTTCTCTCTGACTATCCAGAATTATTTGTAGCCGTTCATACACATTCTACATTTCCTCGGATCTATGCTTTTGTTCCTGCTGCTTCTTTCCCCTTAGAAATCACTGCCACTCCAACCCCAGCTCTCTGCACCCTGGATTTCAGCTCCTAACTTCTCCGTGAGGGCTACCATCACCTATGGCATGGGCATCCGTCCTCTACACTCCCCTAAACCAGTCTTCATGTCTCTTATTATATTTATCACATATATCCATCTCCTTCTGTTTATGCATCCATCTCCCTCTTTAAATTGTGAGCTCATTAAGAATAGGACAACTGTCTACCGCATCTTTTTTTTCTCTCCAGCTCCTAGAAGAGCAGGAACACTTAGGAGGCATGAGCACATTTTTTTTTAATGGATGAATGAAGATCTTTCGTTAGTCACACTTTCCCCTCAAGTTGAATTTTGTTTTCAAATATTTTTAACTTTAAAAAGTTATTATAAAGATACAGATTACAAATGAACCACAGCTTTCAGATTCTCACTTGGAAATGAGAAGTAGACTATTAACTTTACAAAATGGCAATACTGTGTAAAAAAAAGCATTTTGAGAAGATATAATAGGAACCTAAAAAAAAATTCTTCAGAATAGAATAAAAAGAAAACTATGTAAGATATTTTGGAAACTTTTTTAGTAGTTAATTTTTTATTTTTAGAAATGCTTTTGATTATGGATTATGGTACCAATTCAATGCTACATGCTCTATGTTTTTTATTTGCTTTCTTTAAAGACTTTTTTCATGGTGTATTTTCTATATTTCTGTATGTTCAAATTTTTCTCAGCTGCTCAAAACCAACCTTCAAAGCAAAAACAATTTTCCACCTAGCATAAATGTTATCACTGATATTGAAGAAGCAGGGAAATAGTGACTATTATATGCATAGTCATGTTAAGTTACCAGTGTTGAGAGTTATCTAAAAGTATAATAGACAATCTAGCCTTATTCATGAGTGCTTTATTACTTCATTATATAGTGATTTTAACTTCAGCTTCTTTTTTAGTTTTAGAAATTAGAGTTTGGAAAAAAAATTTATTACCAGCAGATTTAGACAGTTCTATAAACCATAGCTGTAGAAGGAAGTTATTAATCCACTAGAGCTATAAGTCTCTGATGGGAGAAAAGGGAAAGAAATACAATTCAAGTACATTGGAAGATGGAAGAAATAATTTATCTATAATGCTTCAAAACAAAATTCTAGGGACTATACAACAGAATTCTGTATTCTTACATAATTTCACTTAAATGTTAATCTCAGTGGGTTCTTCAGTTATCTGGGTCTCAATTTATTCATTTCCTTGGAGAGTATTTATTTATTTGCTATTGAGTTAAATATTATGGCAGTTGAAAATCTTGTTTTTGTTTGCCTATTATGGCACTGCCCTTTTAAAAGAGAGTGTCAAGATAAACTGCAATATGGTAAAACCAGTTAATTTGCTTTTTAAATGAATTCATGTTTAAGGATAAGTATATTTTAAAGACAGTCACAACCAAGGAATGGAATAATGTGATTATGTAAAGTATCCATGAGAATAGTATTAAAGCATGTTAACTCATTTTCTGTCAAAATCCATCTTTAATGAGTATTAAGCATCAGGTTCTTATATTATATTGAATAGTTTATGTTTCCTTTCTTATTGATTTTGTCTTTTACTTAAACTTAAGGCCTTTTAGAAGAAACCATGTGCATGAAAGCAATCATCGCCGTTGAACTATCAAGTTATTCATCAAGACATATAGTCATGAATGATGTAAATGAATTGAAAACATTAGGGATGAGCTATATGTATTTGGAAGTTATCCACAGAAACAGAATAAAATTTCCTTCTCTGTGAACATATTTCTTTGCAACACACTTGGGTGGTATTTGCAATTCATTTCTGCATATCCATCAAGCAATAATCTCACTGGCTTTAAATTCATGGTGTTCCACAATTGTCTAATAACTATAATTAAGAATTGGATGCAAGTAGTGTTTATCTTACTGTCTTTTAAGAAATGACTAATTTTCTTTCCTTGTATTTTTGAAATTTGGACCTTCTGCAGGTGCATAGGCTCAAGTATTGAAGACTGCATCGGCCTGATGGATAGGTACTTGGTGTGCTTGCTTCTCATGCTCTTCCTCCGAGGCTCCATGTGTGAGCACTGGTGCATGTGTATGCATGTCACTGTGAATGGAGAATGATATTTTCTGTTCTGTAATTGCCTGCAGGTGTAGCGGTCCCACTAGTCATGACTGCATTTACTACCCTTGGACGGGCCATTCCACTTTACCACAACATGCTAGGTAACATCTACCATGTTTCCATTTTGTCACTCAAATCCTTTCCCAATTATCATGGATAAAAAGTACTAACCAGTTGGATGAAATTTATAATATGTTAAATTAGGGAGTTATGAAAGAGGCATATAACATTTTATTTTTCAAGCCACATTTCTTACCTCTTCTTCATTTATTATGATTTTAGAATCCAATTAGTAATGTCATTGATTTTTAATTTTGTACAGCTTAAACAGGATTTTGAATTATTAATCTAGAACTTTAATAGAATATTTTTGTTCTTAATTCTGTAGATGATTGCAAAAAGAAATATTTTTAAGAGAGGAATTTGCAAAAGTTGATCTATTTTTGTAAGATATTTGTTATTTGATTAGATTCAGTTTCTGATTTTACATTATTTTGAACTGGTTGGAATATTCTCTCAGCATCAGAATTACCACAGGCTAAAGCTAATATAAAATATATTTTGTGTAGGTAAATGTACAAGTTGGCTTTAAAAAAATAAAACATATCACTCATGTTCATACAAAAACCTATACATGAATGTGTGTAATGACTTTACTCAAAATCACCAAAAACTGGGAACTACTCAAATGTTCTTCAATTGTGGTATATCCATACATACATACTACTCAGCAATAGAAAGGAATAGAAATTGCTATTTCTATTCGAAAGGAATAGAAATAGAAATTGCTGATATACACAAAATGTGGGTGGACCTCAGATGCATTGTGCCAAATGAAAGAAGCTAGACTTAAAAGAATACAAACGGTATGATTCCATTTATGGCATTCTGGATAAAGCAATACTACAGGGACGGAAAATCAGTCAGTGTTGCCAGGGGCTGTGGGTGGGAGATGAGGTGACTACAAAAGGGAATGAGGAAATTTGGGGGTACTGGAACTGTTTCATGTCTTGATAGTGGTGATAGTTGCAGGAATGTATGTGCTTGTTAAAAATCATAGTTCACTACGTTAAAAAGGATAAATTGTACTATATATAAATCACACTTCAATAGATTTGACTTTCAAAACATCTCATATTTAGGAAAACAGTAACTTTACAATGTTATATAGAAATGTTGTTCTCTTTCTTTATCATACAAATTAATTGTTTCTTTTGGAAGAGAGCACATAGCACTAAATTACAATTAGGAAAATTAGAGTTTTGGATGCCTTTTAATGTAAACTTTTGTACTGAAATATATATAGTGCAAAAGTACACAAGCATAAATGTAAAATTCAGTGCATTTCTCCAAATGAAACATTTGTGTAACTATCAGCCAGTTGAGAAACAGAATAGTCCCAGCACCAGAAACCACTTTGTGCCCCATTCCAAGGGTAGCTGCTGTCCTGGAAGCTAATACCATGGGCCAATTTGTCTGTTTATGTATTGTATGTAAATTGTCTCATACCGTATGTACTCTTCATATCTGGCTTCTTTTGCTAAATTTTACCTATATGAGATTCATCTATGTCATTAAATTTAGTCATATTTTTTCATGTATATGGTATTTTGCCTTTAAATGTTTTTAAAACAATCAAGTAGTTGACATGTCTTATTAATGTTATTTTTTAATGAAATAAATAGAGAAATTAAATTCTGAAAAAGAAGGACGTGGTTCAGTTAAGTGATTTATACAACAGTGGCACTTTGGCACTCGGGCATAATCAAGACTAGTTAGTACAATTGCTTAGAGCAAGGTCAAAATTATGAAAAAATTAAGCAGAGAGAGAGAGAGGGGGCATGCCTAAGGCTCAAAGTGAAGTTTCATAAGCCAAGATCCATTTTAGATTGTTCCTATATTCATGAAGTAATTTTTCCTCCTTGAGACTTCAGTTGAGTCACTGTATTATCACTTTGAAGAGTGTTATCAATTTGTTTCCATGATTTTCTTATAATTATTCCAGCCAACCAGCAAGAGGCAATATAGTTTGGTGGTTAAGTGTGCTGTCTTTGGAATCAGATTTTCTGAGTTCAAAGCAAGGCTCTACCATTTTTTAGATGTGTGACCTTGGGTAAGTTTCTTCAATTATCTGAGCCTCACTTTCTTTGCATATAAAATAGGAATATCAATATAGTTCGTATGTTGGTTGTGAAGATTGAATGAGCCCATAGAACAGTGCCTGGCTCAGGTAAATCACTCAATAAGTGTTACTATTTATTATTTCTCTTGTGTCAAGGATTTTAAACATTGAGGATGGGGGAGCATACCTCCGAGAGGGAGGAGGTAAGTCACTCAAACTCTCCCAGGGGGATTTGATGTGTACCTCTACCCTTTCTGATCGGTCTCTCGAAGGAAGGGAGGGCATTTATTTATTCTCCTTGAGAATCACTGTCATAATGAGGGCCACTGGTACCGACAGTAGGAGGTCATAGGCAGAAAGTGTTAAAACCGTAGTGACAGATCAGTTGTGGTTTTCCATGCTAGTAATTGATATTATATAACTCATAGTCATAATGTTTCTTACTATAGATTTCATATTTCCAACATTTAAGCAAAAGCAGTGTGTGAATTTTTGATCCTAATACTTGCCTGGGTTCACAGGCCATTCCCTGTAGTCTCAGACCAATACACTTAATGCAAATTAACTTTGTGATAAATAGGTGACCGTGTCCAGTACTAGAGTCTGGATAGTACGGTTCAGCCCATTATTCCCATGAAAAATCACCTGTAGATCTTTCTATAGGTAAAGAGCAGAGGTTCTTCAGGGTGAAAGCCTAGGTTCAAGTATTGGCTCTGCCATGTTTCTTATCTGTGAAATGGGGGTGATAATGGTAATTTTTTAAAAGGGAATCATTACACCTCCTAAGATTTGTGTGATTACGTGAGCGAGCACCCGGGAGCCATTATCTAGTATACATTCACTCCTGGTAGTTACACCTTTAATTGAGATATTGTCAAAATAACACTTTTGAAAATCTCATGAGGTTGTGTTCTATTAGTATTTTATATATTAGTCAGGCATTAATCCAAAAGTTCACTGACTATGGAAGTGACATATGAAAATTTCTCAGGTTTTAAGCATTTAAACTTGTGTCTGTCACACTTCTAAGTATAATGATTTCAAAGAATTGGTAGTAAGTAGCTAATTGTTCCTCTTAGAAAACTATGGATATCTTTAATACCTGTTTTGAATTTAAATTTAAAGCAATGTGACTCTATTCTTCAATTGTGTTGACTTTCCAGATTTTATTGACCTGTCAGAGGCTGTTTCTAAGGCAGTTGGAATTTACATGAAAGATTAGCTTGGGTGCTTTGGAAAACCATGTATGACCATGGAGCATCTGACATAGGTTGGATGAAAAGTGAAAGTAACAAGTGTCTGCTTTTTCGGGTCCTTAATATTGCAGTAAATGCTTACGTCTCTGAAATGGGGTGGGCATACATTTAATTGAAAACAGGACACTGGTCTGGTTTTCAGGTCATTTTCCATTTTTAAATTTCAGTTTTTCTTAAGCTTCGGTCTTAATTGATTAAAGTAAATCTGACATAAAAAGAGGGCAAAATACATGATAGAAAACAATTGTTTCAAGTTTTATAAACCATGTTTGAACTTGGAAATTATCCAAATGCCTAGTTTTCTTTTAGTCTCAGAAAATTACATTGAGCCTGTCAGTGTGGCTATTTCAAAATATTTAGAGTTCATACTCCCTACTGCTCCATTATGCTGTATTCTGTTTCCTAAACTAGCAGGAAAAAAGATTGAAGATTTAAATGAAAACAGGTGAAATGTTTCCAATCTTGATCGACTTTCATTTTCTAAGCACCGTTATTCTTTCCCAAGCCTGCAATTTGTGAATTGGTTTTCCACACTCCATTTACCTTACAGGCTGCTGCTGAAATTTCTTCCAGGAAGATTGGATAGCCTAGAAAAGAATTTTTTTTTTTTACCTGTAGTCCCCTAGAATATGCTACTTATAATGAAAATAATACTTGGTATTTTAGAACTTCTCCATACTTCCCTCATCTGAATTGAATTAAATGCCTTAAAAATAGCATTTACCTTTGATGTTCTTTCTTTTCCATCAAGAATCTTATGAAGAAATGTGTTTAGCAAGTTTTCTTTTTTTTGTTATTCTTGTGTGTTATCTATTTGAGCTTGCGTGTATGCCATTTTCATATAGATTCTAATAGAACAAAGTATTGGATTCTATTCTATTTGAGTTTCTTTGTCAAATATATATCCAAAGCTTTTTATAATCTTAGTCTCTTACTCCATTAGAGCTAAATTTGTTAATCTCAACAAGCCAAGGCTGTATTGGCAAAGCGTTTCTTTTTATTAGTTAGCAATCCAAAATGTAAACCAATACATTTTTTTGAATTTGTAACAGAAGTTATGAAAAATACTAGATATGTGTTCAAACATTTTTATCTGGCTGTTTGCTACAATTCAATTATTCTAGATGCTTCACAATGTGAAATAGGTAATTGAATTCGGTTTACCTCTCTAAATCTCATATGGGGAGATATTTGAAACGTTTCGTATTCCCCTCCCATTTTAATGTCTGTGTCCCATTTTACTTTACGGTGTTGTGGTTATTACCTAACAGGTCACATAGCAGTTTATCCTTTAGCATGTGACCTTGTATGATATATGAGAGCGACGATGTAATATTCTTGACACCACTTTCACAAATGGCACAATCTTTTTTCTTTGTTTGTTTTGCCCCAAGGAACTTAGTTCATAACTTATGTCCAAATCAAATAGTCAAAATCGCCCATAGATGGTTACCTTTGATGAGTGGCAGTTGTGTTAGGATCCTTCAGTCCAAAAAATAAAAGTACACAGGCTTTTTGCTATGTCTCTCCTCAGTCCACCACATTCTAGAGATTAAATTTACTTTTGAATTACAGATAGTTCGAAGGGGTGAAGGAAAGTGTGTGTTTCTTCTTTTTGAGTTGATTTGTCTCCCATACCTCCCAGGACTCATAAAATGCCAAAATTATCAAAGAATTCTAGGGGCCAGCTGGTAGAATATTGGTTAAGTTCACGTACTCCTCT